AGAGAACTACAGACCGGTTTCCCTTCTTCCTTTCATTGCAAAAACACTTGAACGAGCTGTGTTCAACCAAGTCTCTGCATTTCTCACACAGAACAACCTCCTTGACAGCAACCAGTCTGGTTTCAGAAGTAGATATTCAACCGAGCCTGGCTTGCTCTTAGTTGTTGAAGCCCTAAGACTGGCAAGAGCGGATTCCAAATCTTCAATACTTATCTTGTTGGATCTGTCCGCTGCTTTTGACATGGTTAACCACCAGATTCTCCTGTCAGCCCTATTGGCAAAGGGCATCTCAGGAACCACACTCCAGTGGTTTGAGTCTTACCTATCAGATAGGTCCTTCAAAGTATCTTGAAGAGGTGAGGTGTCCAAGACGCATCATCTAACTACTGGGGTTCCTCCGGGCTTTTCACCATCCAGTTAGGCATATCAACCATAACTCCTTCAAAAACAGCCAGAAACCTTGGAGTTATGATTGATGATCAGCTGACTTTCTCAGACCACATTGCTAAAACTGCCCGGTCCTGCAGATTTGCTTTATTCAACATCAAGAAGATCAGGCCCTTTCTTTCGAAACATGCTTCACAACTCCTTGTTCAAGCTCTTGTTCTGTCCAGGTTGGACTATTGCAATGCTCTCTTGGCAGGTCTTCCAGACAGTTCAATCAAGCCTTTACAATTAATCCAGAATGCGGCAGCAAGATTAATTTTAACAAGCCGAAAAGAATGCACGTCACACCTCTGTTTATCAATTTGCACTGGCTAACATTAGCTGCTCGCATAAAATTCAAGGCATTAATGTTTGCCTACAAAACCACCACTGGCTCTGCACCCCTTTACCTAAATTCATTACTTCAGACTTATGTGCCCATCCCAAAAAGGCACAAAATCACTTATACAGACTTTTAAATTAAATGTTCCCTCCTGGTGGTATGACTTGCTCTACTCAATCCGAGTCCTTAGCCATCTTCAAGAATCGACACATCTCTTCCATCTTTAATTAAACCCTTCTTTGTGCACAAAAAGTATTCTCATAGCTTCATAACATTACGGATGAACCACTGATATCACATGGACTATTTAACCAAAGTCCTTACTACGTTTCTGGGCCTGGGAATATTTCAGTTTCATTGCTGTCTATGGAGGGTCAGAAAGCTTTTGGATTTCATCAAAAATATCTTAATTTGTGTTTCGAAGTGAACGAAGGGTCTCACGGGTTTGGAACGACATGAGGGTGAGTAATTAATGACAGAATTTTTGGGTGAAGAATCCCTTTACGTTTCAAAGTTGATTCATGAGTGTCAGAATCAACTGATATATGATTCTGTATTGATAAGCTGATTGTGTTTGTCAGGATGTGGAGCAGGTTTCAGTGCGTGTGACTGATGGGACAGAAGCTCAGGATTCAGTCTGGAGCGTCAGAGATCAGAGATCCAGAGACACACAGGACTCAGAGCTCAGCCTCACTTTACTCTGTTATACTGACGCTCAGGATCATGAATCCACTGATCAAACCTCTGACTGTAACGCTGGAGAACATGATCAGGTTTGAGAGAAGATTTTCTGAGATATTTGGGAACATGATGGCAAATTATAGTATTTTTTTTCTCTCTCTGTCGAGATTTTGATCTTGAATGTGTTTTTTAAGTGAGCCAGATTTGCTGTGCCTGTTTGTAAGGCTGCACAATTTGGCCAAAAATCGAATTACAATTAATTATTAATAAATTAATTAATTATTATAAATTATAAAATCATGAAAGAAATACATTGCGATTTCAATAACACTATTATACTATAAAATTATAAACATGGTGAAATGGGTGGAGAATGTTGCATTTCCAAACTCACTTTATCAATAAAAAATATTGATAAAGTTTTATAAAACTTTTTATTTATTTAAAACCCAGAATTTATAACCATTTTGTTCATTTCAGATGACGAAGGCTGTTCATCTTCTGACGGAGAAACAGACTTAACATCAAAAGAGCAGCTGACGGTCAAGAGTTTCTCCTGCGCCACCTGTGGAAAAACACTGAGTTCACAGGGAAACCTAACGAGACACGAGAGACAACACACAGAACAGAAATACTTCACTAACACCAGCTTTCCTACCGCAGAAGAGAGGAGACTTCATTCAAAAGAGCACAGCATGAAGAAGGAGTTTCACTGTGAACAGTGCGGGAAGGGTTTTTTCATTCATTCTAGTCTAAAAGTTCACTTGAAGACTCACGGTGAAAAGTCTTTCCACTGCAGCGAATGTGACAAGTATTTCAGCACCAAAGGAAATCTTGTTGCTCATAAGCGAATCCACACGGGAGAAAGACCATACAAGTGTCCTCACTGCGAGAAGAGCTTCAATCATGGATCTCATCTGAAGACACATGTGCGTGTTCACACCAATGAGAGGCCGTATCAGTGCAGTGAATGTGGGAAAACCTTTACAGACTCAAGCTGTCTAAAGTCACACCAGAAAATACACTCTGATGAGAAACCGTTTCAGTGCAAACACTGCGACAAACGATTCCGTCACAAGTCCTTCCTGATTTGTCATGAGAGGAATCACACTGGAGAGAAACCATATCTGTGCTCCTACTGCGGGAAGAGCTTTGCTAGTCCAGTTCATTTTGGACTTCATCAGAGAGTCCACACTGGAGAAAAACCGTATCACTGCAGCGTCTGTGGGAAAAGTTTCAGTAAGGTTGATACTTTACAAAAGCACAAGAGGATTCATACCGGAGAAAGACCGTTCAAATGCTCACAGTGTGACAAGACGTTTGCTCGATCAGACATCCTTAATTTTAATTGAGCTCTTACTGCCAGTAGGGGGCAGTGAACTTTTTTAATGCGGTGGATTGATCCAAGTGCTGTATATAAAGTCATGTTTGATAGAGTAGAGCAGTGGTCGCCAACCCGTCGATCGCGATCGACTGGTAGATCTTTATCACTGTCCCAGTAGAACCCGAAAAAAAACAGTAAAATAAGTACAAAAATGCATTACATTTCTGGGATTATATTAATGCATCACTGAAGGGAACTGTCTTGAGAAAAGTTTCGATGGCAATGGCATTTTCTTCTCCTATAAAGCGCAGCTCTGCTTTGTTTACAGCGGTAACCAAGGAAACGCTATATTGCGGTCGGTTCATAAGCAGTG